ATTTACCTCTCTACCAACATGTTCATTTAAATCTCCTCCAATAAAAACTCTTTCTTCAAGAGGTATATTTTGTATTAATTCTTCTAAGTCATTCCAAAAATTTAATTTAGAACTCATATCCAAACCTACTTGAGGAGCATAAGCACTTATAATATTAACAATCTTATCATCAACAACAACCTTTAAAGCTATAATTCTATTTCCAATCCTATTAATTTTTATAACATTATCCTTTAAACTCTTATCTATAATAACACCTACACCATTTCTAGTACGACTCCTACCCGAATACCAAAGTTTAAATCATAAACTATCAATTTCCTTAGCCTTATCTCCAACCCATTTAGTTTCCTGAATGCATAAAATATTTAACTTCCTATGAATCATAATATCTATTAATTCAATTAATTTTCCTGTAAGGGAACCTATATTCTAAGTTTCTATCCTAATTTTAGTTTCATGGACTAGCTTCTTTGCCCACATCCGTCCTTGATGTGGGAACCCTTGCCTATTTAACACTGCACCCGGGCGCCGGTGCAGCGGCCCTTGCACACTTGTCACTGTATTCAGGCCATACAGCGCGCCGCTTCCAGGGGACGCCCTAGCATTAACACAATTTAATCTGATTAAAATGTGTTAATTTTTGTCTGTCTCTTGATAAACTTTCCATTTTCTATTACTTAAAGGCTAGAGAGCGTCAAAGGAAAGAAGAGCAGGAGAGGCTGGAAAGAGAAGCTACAGAGGCTGAAAGGAAGCGCATGGAAGAGGAAGTGGCACGGGAAAGGGCTATTTGTGAGGCTGCTGAAAGAGAAGCTGCAATCACTAGAAGACGGCAAGAAAAAGCTATGTCGCTGGGCACCGAGCCTGCAAAAGGACCTGACGTTACTCAAGTAAGCCATCTAGATCAAGTTTTTTCATGTATTATGTTTCTATCAGTTACTTTTTTAGAATGAAATTCAAATGGATCAAGGCCAAAATATATCTGGTATCATTGTAAAATTGGCACGGGATCTTCTGAACAAAATTATCTTGAACATTTTTCGTACAAAAATGATTTACAAATTCAATTTCATGAAGATTTTTCATGTAATATGACAATCATTATAATATGGCTACAATATGATTAAACATTGCTACATTTTAGGTCAACCTACGTATTCCTAGTTCCATTGAGGTCCTCTTATAATAACTAGGTTTTTAGTTGTACTTTTGGTGCACATTTCTTAATCAGCTTTCTGATGAAATGATTACCTCATTTAATCATTGCAAGGACTGTCGGTTGGGGCCTATCATTGAGACCTAGATTGGCTTTTTCTGCAAATTTATTTCAATTTTTTTCTATCCGAAATATTGACTTCATAAATAGTAGTTCATCTGTGTCTTAAATTGAATAAAAAATGTATTTTAACTGAAAATTATTTGATTATTACCTTCATAATTTTTGTGTTGCATTAGAACAAGACATTTTTCATTTCTCACTATCGTATAGAATGTTTAGTTTGTTGCTTTCAAATGTTTGAAAGGCTACTCATCTTATGAAATTTTAATCAGAACAAGTGTGATAGATATCCTTATCCTAGGGGTTCCGAAAGAATCACTTATAGCATGCACAAAATATTGTAAATTGTAATAAAATTTTATTGAATCGAAAATTAAACCAATTATTTTCTTAAGACTATCTATTTATTGACATATTTTCCCAAATAAACGACTATTTCTTGACAGTGGATAAGATCACAAAAAAATTCCAAAACAAGTTGCATGTCAAAATAGGACCCAAAAGAAATGTAGTAGTCACATCATATAATAAAAGGAACAAAAGGACAATGAACTGTTTTTTAGATATGGACTAAATATTGCTACAAGATTTGGGATAAGGAACAATAGTAGCTACAATATGGATTAGTTATCCTGATTCGCTCCCAAAAGAGTTTCTCATCAGTATACCCGATATGAAAAAATTCAAATTCAACAGATTGAGTTTATGATACTCATCAAGTAAAACCAAACATAAATTTTGCACCTCCTTTAAAATAATCTTTTAGTTATCAATCACAAATTTATCACGCCAATACAGTAGATATCTCTGGAATCCACCATAAGTTGCAAACACAATATCATCATCCAAAATAGTTTTAAGAATAAGAATTGCATTTTAGCTTCATGAATAATATCAATAAATATTTCATCAAAATATGCATTTTTAGATTGCTCATTTGATTCATCAATTACATTAATTATAATTGGTTCAATTTCGCATTCCGATATAAGTCTGTTCTTTATTAGAAGTTTATGTTCAGATAAGATCTCATGCTCTTAACCCCAAATTCTGATGCTTAATATACATTTAGATTCATGAAAATATTCTAATCTACATGCAGATTCATATTCAAAATCGTCAGATGAAAAACTCATATTGTAGCTGCAAATCTATTTTGCATCTAAATATTCTCTAGCAAATATTAATGAACTACAATTTCTTCAATTGAATCAAGTTCAACCATGCATGATTCTTTTGTTGGTGTGCATACAGCAAACTTCAAAGAATATGATATTATTTTTTTTAGTGACTTGAATTATAGGTATAATAGTCTGGTTAGAATGATTATAATACTCGTTAATATCCAAAGTTATGTTTATGGTCTAATGTATGGTTTTTGGTGAATTGTAGTCAAATTCATCTCTAATTTCTTACTTAAAAAATTTTAATGAGATAAATAATAGTAATATTGTAGTCTAAAGACGAGCAATATTTAGTTGAAAGACCTATAGATCTTATGTTTTACTCAAACAAATCGTATTTAACTTTTTTACTATCCTTTATTGTTCTTTAGTTTAACAAAAAGACTAATAATGTTCTTTAATTTTATCTTTCATATCAGCTCATGTTGATTTTCTTTTTTCTCGCAACACTTGAGAAATAATTGAGCATGCCACTAATTTTGTTTCAGCAATTTTAACTTTATTGAAATCAAATAAATGGTAATGTTTAAAGAAGTCATCAACCCTAAAAATTTCCTAAGTTTATATTTTCAATCAAATATAGGAATAAAATTTAGAGCCTCATATAGTTATGCTGTTGGCTAGAACCAAAACCTTCACATTTTTGTTCAAATTGCATAATTAATTAAATCTTTTTATTGACCAAATTATGTCATACAGGATGATGCAACTATAAGCAATGATTTTTTTTTTTTCTTTTTGAAGCTTTTTAGCCTTGTAACCATAAGCAATGATACTAATTTGATATGTGATGCTTTAGGGTTTAGGGTTACTAATGCAATTAGGGTGATAGAATAAATGTTGATCACACGAAAAATTAGGATTTCAGATTCAAGTCCTTTAGATACACAAAATTTCACTTTGTTATTTTAAATTAGAAAACAGGAGAATAATACCCAAAACAATAATGCAATCATCAATTAAATCTAAAGAAACCTGCAAGAAATTCAAACCATGAAAAATTTGCAAGCAATTGAATTTTTTTCCAAAATTAAACTTTCGGTTATACCAAATTTGAACAAAATAAAAAACTTAACAAGCCCAATAACATAGTGTTTAGAAGAAAAGGATGAGAAGTGAAGAAATCATCTTAGTGAAGTGAATCTAAACCTCACCTCGGTACAAGAAGATAACTTTCCCTTGAATAAGTTGTCATATTTGTACTTTACTTGAGGAATCAAGTATCCAACATACGCAGATTGAAAATTAGGATGAAATTTTTAATTGAATGAAAAGCTAAAAAAATTTGTGTGCCCTAAAGTATATAATTTATAGAAATCTCTTCCCAAATAATTGACGGATTCCCTAATTTGGAGAAGATCAACAAAAAAAAATTCAAAAGAAACCACAAGACAAAGTCATAGGAACTGCACATATAGAGATTAAAGGAAACGGACAAAGGAGCCACCATATTTGCACCACAACTGAAGGAATGCAAAGGTCACGCTGCAATAGGATTCAGAAGGAATTGCAGAAGTTAATCCGCAACAGAAGGAACATAAGGATCACAACTTGCTTCAGTGATAATGAAACCTACTAATGGATAAGGAATGAAGCTTGCTTCAGGACTAAATAAGGATCTCAGCAGATATAGAATGAGAACAAGTACAGTCTGGATCTGAATCCTGCTTTGACACTGCATCAGGAATTCTGCCTCTTGGAATAATCCTGCACTACATAGCCTCTTAAGATTTTATTTGTGAAATTCATGGCTGACCCACTTAGATTTGATAGAGAAATTTTAAGGAGTTTGAGATATTATAAGTGCCTTGATTAATCAATTTCAAGCTGACGTTGACTAGCTAAGCATGCAGTACAAAAAACAAAAATCTCTTCATAGTCACTTAACGCTGCTTTTCTGGTGGTGCTAATATTCTGAGCATAGTTAGATGCTCGGAAACAAAGATGTGTTTTATCAGAAGAGCATGCTTCTGAGAAGTAGCAAAGAATACCAAACTTTCTTGAAAGTGTTTTGTCCGTATTTCCTTGAAGCATGCCCCTTACTATTAATGATCAAGTTTCATGAAATTGATGTTAAGCTTGGAATGGACTTCGCAGAGCAGCATTTCCTTCTGGATTTGACGTCAAGGGACCTTAGTATAGGTGAAGAAGCAACCTAAGTTTTAAAATCAAGTAGGAGAACACTAGGCATGCAGAAAGACTCCTTTCAATATCACGTAGACAAACACCAAATGATAGAAACTTAGTAGATAATCAAACGTAGGAAAATGTTTAGGAAGTCGCGCAAGAAAACAAAATAAACAAAACACATAAATTATAATACCCTCAGAACAACCATGAGTTGTCACCTCACATGCACATCACAAAATAGGGAAAGGTGTTCAAAGGAAAGGACAAACCAGTAACCCACCATTGAAATTATGATCCAGCACAAGTCGATGCTCCTCTGGCAAATACCAACAGAATAGGGCACAAGGCCTCCTTACAACTCTCAATTTTTAAAGAAAAAAAATACTAGTGGAAGGGTAACCGTGGAGGGAAGAAGAAGAAGGAAGACCAAGAGGAAGAAATAGGGATTAAGAAGAAGACAACTCGCAAGTTAAGAAGAAACTCTCAGATTTTTTTTTGTTTTAACTTCAGCAACCCCTATCATATAAATTCATCCACCATATATAGGAGGGGGAAAGAGCAATAATTTGCTGACATAAATATGACTCCAAAACAATCAATAAGAACTCTCGCAGGCGCATGCACCTAGACACACAGAATCACCTTGCATCTACAAAGCACGGATGTTACATATAATATAAAACATTGACATTGGGTTGTGACTAATCTCAAATTCGCAGGGCACTAACATATTTCGTTTACATGGCCAGTAAATATTATTGAATAATTAAGAATATTGGTAACTTAAAGCAGTTTTTAGATATCCAACAGATTATGGTAGGTAGCTTGTTAACTCAGCTAACTCCCTAACGATAAACAGCATTTGTACCTTACTATCAACAGTTAGATTGAAGTGATGAAATTAAGAAGCCTCTACTGAATGCAAAATTTTGATCCATCTCTCTAACTTGTCTCACTCTCACAATCTCTTTTTGGACGGGTTGGGCTTCTTCCAGTGAATCAGAATCAACTGTTTTCAAAAATGGCCAGCATATGGGTATAAGTTTCCATGATGGCATAAACAGAAAAGCAAAAGAATATCATGACATGTGAGATGGACGTCTGTATTCATGTTAAAGTTGATAAATAAACGATGGCGTCATAATAACTGGAATGTGTTAAAAAAAAAGACCAGTTTATAAGTAGAAAAATGTGGAATAAAGCTTTAAAAGATAGAAACTGAAGCAGAATGATTTGGAAGCAAATACAGAACTATTCAGTAAAAGAGGAACATTTAATGCTCTTGAACAAGTCAGCGAACCCTTGATAATAGTTCCAGCATGAAGGCAGTCACCTCGCATCATCAAAGATCCCACTTAAGCCAAAGCTCCCTAACATGCACAAAATGCAAGGAGACATCATTAGCTACAGTGAAAACTGGAGCGGAGAAGCAGAATATCAGAGAAGTGTCTAGTTTATGGGTGTCAGTGTGATGGTGGGAGAGGGATTTGCATGGAGCACCGTGATATAGATCTTTTGTTGTATCTTTCCACCAGCCTTTTCTTTGTCCTTTTTCTTTTTGGGGATTTAGGATTCGTTTGGAACGGCTTTCTTATTGCTTCTTAAAGCAACTTTTTAGTACAAATTTTAATTATTGAACTAAAAAGCTGTTTTAAGAAGCAGCAAGAAAGCCGCCCCAAACAAAGCCTTAATCTCCAACTACTGAGAGGTTCTCTTTTTTCTCATCTGCGCACTTGAGTGCTTATTATAGACTAGAAGAATATAGAGACGTTACATGGTTATTTAGTTATGTGAAATAAACAAGTTTCTAGTTCTGGGAGAACTTGAACCCATTATTGGTTTGACCATAAACCATTACTGGAGACGACAACACTCTTTTGTTGTTCATCTCCATTAATATAATAAGCCAGTAGTACCCTAACCTAATGAGCTCCACATGAGCTATGTAAATCATTCTTCTGCTGAAACTTGCTCCCTTTTTCTCCTTTTACTCGTTCTCATTATTCTTTCTTTTCAAGTTTTTTATTCGTTAAAGTGCAATTAAATTTTGCCAGATCAGTTACAATCTAATTTGTTTTCTTTACATGAAATTTTAATCATTTATGTAGCTTTCATGATCTTAATTTTCATGGCCATATTTTGTAATAGAAATGTCAGTCTTGATTACATCAAAACTCTAAACTATGAAATTATTCAGGTGCTTGTGCGATTTCCTACTGGTGAGCGCAAGGAAAGGAGGTTCTACAGTTCTACAACAGTTCAGGCCCTCTATGATTACGTTGACTCTCTGGACTGCTTGAATGCTGAGAAATATAGTCTTGTCTCAAACTTTCCACGCGTCTCCTATGGCCCTGAAAAATTTTCCTTATCTCTGAAGGAAGCCGGTTTGCATCCTCAGGCAAGTCTTTTTGTTGAGATCGAATCATAGTATTGCAATATCTTTATATAATGCTATAAATCTGATCTTCGGATATGTAAACTCAAATCATATTTGTAAATTTTCCAGACTGTAATTGAGCTAATTAGTCTTGCAACTTTTTAACTTGGACCCCATATTTGGATGAAACATATTTCATACATGTTTTGATTGTTTAATTCCATGGTAGTTTGCTTATTCCAAGTTGAAAGAAATAAAATGCTTGTGCTGTTATTTTATCTTTGTTTTCCAAAGCATTGAATGAAGATGTTGGAGCTATGGTGGACTATGAAAGGAGAATTGCATTGAGTTTGCTGAAATTGTTACTTTGTATTGATTATAATTTGAATGCTTTTATGTTCCTCATAGAAATTTATATAACAAATTAAATTGGAATGGTCTCATATATTTTTGCTTTGAAAGCATTTTGGTGGGCTATGTTAAGAGTGGTAGAGGTAGACCTAAGTTAAGGGTTGCAAAGATAAGGATGCTCAGGTGGATGAGTGGATTTACCCTTAGAGACGGGATACGAAATGAGCATATACGTGAAAAGGTTAGAGTAGCTCCAGTGGAAGATAAGATTAGAGAGAGTAGTCACCTTAGATGATTTGGTCACATAAAACGACAGCCTTCCAATGACCCGGTTAGGAAAGTAGAGGTATTAGATTTGACTTATATTAAGAAAGGTAGAGGTAGACCTAAAAAGACTTGGTTAGAAAATATTAGAAATGATCTTTCTTTATTAGATTTAAACGAGAATTTGACTTTTAACAGGACACAATGGAGAAAAAAAGATTCTTGTAGTTGACCCCACATAGTGGGACAAAGGCTTGATGTTGTTGTTGTTGTTGTTGGTAACATAGCTCAAGCAAAAGTGGACATAGGGACACAAAACACTAAGAATTTCAGGTATAGACAAAATATAAATATAAATGATGTAAAGATGATGGATTAGCTACAGAAAACAATACACAATTGGCAACCAAGTTGATTATTTGTAAAGTAGCATTTGAGATGGAAATGGAACACAGATGAGTTGAGCAATTATCATTGCCTAAGGCCCACCCAATCACCATAGAAGAACCTCATCAAAAGCCATAAAGAATTGAATAGACAAGAACTGAATCAAATCAAGCCTGATAGAGATACTTGATCAAACTAAAAGCAGTGAAAAACAAGAAGACCATCAATGATCCCTCAAAAAACACTTAAGAAACTTCAAAAAGTAATCCCTCAAGATAATGAGAAGTCATATAAGTGGAGAGAAGAATGCACAAAAATAGAATGAGAAATGAGAGTGTTGCAATGCCAAGCTACCAAAAATATCAAATTCTGATGTAGAACAAAATTCAGCCAATGGACAATTCACATAATCCCATTCAGAAACCCACCACAGTTCAAAATGTTCCAACATAATAAAAATAATACCAAGAAGTAGTTAAGTAAAATAGAGTCTGTAGGTTTATTATGGTACAATAGCAATTTATTTGGTTTCTCTTTAGGATGGTGTTTAGAAAGGTTATTTGGATACTGATTAAGGTTAGAATTTTAATAGATTTGTTGATGAAACTTCTAGACTATCAAAGGACAATTTTTGTTTGAAGATAAGGTGGAGGAACTTCATATCAATGGTTTCAAATGTTAAGAAACTAATAATGATATTTTTTATGAATTTTGGATTAGTGATTAAAGAGTTGTGATGATTTTAATCTGATTGATGACAATAGAAAATTCTCTATCACTCACATAAACTTTTCACATAAAATTCGCATAAGCAAAAAATATGTTTTATTTGATGATTTCAAAAGTACAAGACAATGTCCTGTTTATATATTTTTTTTAGCCTATATGACTTTAGAAAGTCTTCAAAGCTGATAAAATATTATTACATCGATTGATGATTTATCTTAATATTAAAACAAATAAAATAAGATAAATGAAATAAAATTTAAAGCTTTCAAAAATATGAAAAATTTTAAATTGGCCGCATAAGACACTTAACGTGGTCTTGAAATCAATCAATTTATGAAGATTTTTGTTTATATGGCCTAACTATCTATCAAGGGACATTAATTTGAGTTTATTAATTATTCTATAATAACATTAAAGGGTTTAGAGGTCATCTATAGGCTTATATGAAGAGTTGTGCATGATGAATGACCTAAATCTTCATGATGTGCTTTGATTTAAAAATGCCAGTTCTATGCTTCCACATAATTTATAGAATGCATTGAAAAAGAAACAGAACATATGGTTTTGACATTCTAAAAAAAAAATGTTAGTGTTGTTTAGAAGTTGGAGAAGAGAATGTCCCAAAAGAAAAATGCTAATAAATTGAAAGCATGATTTAAGCAATCTCAAAGAAAGAAAGAAAAAAAAAAACATTGTCGTTGTTAGGTGTCATTTTCTTGATGAGAAAATTAGAGGATTGCATTTGATAATCGACAGTCAGTGTAAAATTTAGTGAACAAACATCACGTATATCATTTAATATATTGTGTTATTCTCATATAATGGGATAAAATATTGATGTTGTTGATATTGTGGAGAAAGAAAGAAAATGAGAAATGCTTTCATTAACAAATAAGCAAAGACTGCATTTGTGTTTGATTTTGATTTGTTGTTTGAAAAGCTCATTTGTCGTTTTAGGCTTGGTTTGGGACGGCTTTCTTACTGCTTATTAAAGCAATTTTTAGTACAAAAATTAAAAAAATTGTACTAAAAAGCTTCTATAAGTAGTAGTACGAAAGGCGTCCCAAACGAAGCCTTAAGGTCGAAATTAAAAGCAAACCATCCATAAACCGAGAAACGAGATGCATGCGTATGGTGCCAAACGCATTTAATCCCCTCTTTATTAGGAAGATATTGCAATGTAATTTGGCACATTTGGAGAATATAATGGGACTTATTTTATTGTTGATGCCAAGACCTAGAAAGGAATGAAAGCAATATAAAATTGACTTAAGAGAATTGATGTTTGATAAATTCTTAGCCAACAATAAACAAATCACGAGAGTATAGCAAATAAGTGATATTAGTAGTTTCAATAATGACTCTTTTAAAATGTTTATTAAGAGTTTGAAAGATAAACATAGAAAATAGAACATTCATAGCTATGAAAAAGGTAAAAAGAAAGAGAACATCTTATCTAATGGCATTGGAGGAGGGAAAGAAGCCTTGAACATTATCATTAAAGAGAATAGAAAAGTGAATATCATAAATTCTCCCTCTCTTATACAAAAATAAGTGATTACCTCCCAATTAGATTTGAGTCATTAAATAACCCAAGAAGCTTGGTAGGAGCAAAGTTTAGCCAAGAGATTACCAACATTGTTGAGAACACAATTGAGGATATGATCAACAGGAATTTTCTCTTTAGGACGGGAGAAAGTTCATTTTTGGTGCTTATTAGCTTTTAGGTTTCGTTTAGGACAGTTTTCTTACTGTTTCTTAAAGCAGCTTTTTAGTAAAAAAATTTAATTTTTGTACTAAAAAGTTGTTTTAAGAAGTAGTAAAAAAGCATTTCTCCTCGTAGGTGGCCCAAATTTCATCAAGAGTGAATTTGTGATGTTTTGTCCTTTTAATGGTTGCAAATGGCAAACCTAAGCTAATGTGCCATCTTATTCCCCTGAAAAGAAACACTCAATAATCTGAATTACACCTTAATATAATTAAGTCGTTTGATATTGCTTTTAATTAAAGATTAGAGTATACAGCAGAACTTTTGTGGTTACTATTTGGTCCATAATCTTCCATAATGCCTTAGTTTAGTTTTTCGAGCTAATAATGAAAACAAAATCAACTCATTTTTGCATCTTTTTTGGAAACCTGTGAATATTTTTTGTTATTTTGATCTACTTCATGCAGGCTTCATTTGAGACAAATTTTTAAATTTTTTGCTAAATTAGCTTTCTAGTACAAAAATTTTTCGAAAAATTTTTTATACTATAACTAATTTAGAAACTATTAAGAAAGCCGCCCAATAAAGCCTTAATATTATGGTATAATCATACAAGCAAAGCATAATTACTTGGTTAAAATTATTCATGCTATGTATCAGACACTAAATAAATAAATCTTATTTTAATCAAAAAAATATTTTTTTAGAGATCAAAATAAAATAGCAAAAGAGTTTTTCTTTTTTTTAACAAATAGAAAAAACTTATAGATAATGTGTACAATATACTTTTTAGTTTTAAATACATTATTTTTTCTACATTTGAAAAGATATGAAAAACAAGTGTAATTTTTTAATAATCCAGCTGTGTATGTACTGTATGAGTATGAGATGTTAATATGCTAACATAGCTCATAAATATACAAGATTATAATTTGTAGATGATTACATATGTGACAGAATACATCAAAGAGTGATCTTTTTATTAAATTTAGATTAAATTTATTCTTTCAAGTAAAAAAAAATGTTATTTTTTTGTTTAGGTTAAGAGCCAGATTTTTGTTTAAATCTAATTAAGAAAATCATTTCTAATATTTTCCAATCAAATATGTTTAGATGTACCTCGACTTTTACATAAATCATACCTAATATATATACGCCCCAATCAGATCATCTAAAGGCCAATATTTTACGGGACTAAATCATCTAAAACAACTCTCTCTAATGACTAGTCATAACTCAAAAAAACAAAATTGTTGAGAGCTTCTAACAAACACTTCAAAATCATGACATGATAATTACATCATGGTAAAAAAATTAATTCCATCCCCACTTTTACAACGCCATTGTTTCTAAATTCCCCATAAATACTTAATTGTTTATCTTCAAATGATTGCAAATGTCTTCATTTTTAAAGCAAATATTCTATATATATAAATCAAAATCTTATCATCACAAATATATTCAAAATTCAATATTAAAATCAAAATAATTATATATACCTTTATTTTTTTACATAAACTTTAGATCAAAGATGAATAATTCAAACATATAATTTAAATATCTTAAAACAGGTAAACAAGGAGCTCCCCACAAATTCTCTCCCAATAATTTAGAACCTTCTGGTTTCTAACCAAATGATGCTTCACATACAAAAGAACAAAAATAAGTAATGGTTGCTCAGATCATCAATCATTGTTATACAATACATGTTTGTATCAAGATAAAAGCTGCTCTGCCCCTTTCCATATTATCAGTGTGTAATCTGGACAAAAGCACTTCTAATTGAACAAATGAAATGCTAATAAAACAAGTATAAGGTTCATTAAATTTACCTGAGCCTTATTCAATTAGATAAATTCTCTTCTTGAATCCACTTCATAGGAAGAAATATTCTTCCGTAAGAATCCATCTTCCACCAGCTGATTTGACATACTCAGCAATTTTAACAGAATAGAATGATCAGTTGCATCTATCCCAAAAAGATGCTCCAATTGTAAGTTTTCACATCAAGATCTGGAGAGTTTTCAAGCGCTCGTCGCAACTCTTGTGCGCAACAATGGTCTTTGGCTAACAGCAGAGCAAAACCACCTCCGCCGGCACCGACAAGTTTGTAGCCGACACAGTAGGGGTCGGCGAAGGCAAAGAGCTTGTCCACAAACTCATTACTGCAATATGGATCCAATTCTTGATGAAGCCTCCATGCCTCTTGCATTATGTCACCCACCTCATCAATATCACCATTCATTAAAGCTTCCCTTCCCATTTTCGCCAATGCTGCGAGGCGCCTGATGCTTGATATCAGCAGGTTATCTCTGCGAAGATACCGAGTAACCACCTTTTGCAATACTTGGTTGGCGAGCCGTACCTGCATAAAGGTTCTCACAAGGAGCGATAGAGTAAAGCACATGAAAATGTTATATGTTGCCTTTATTGTTATTCTGGAATGATCAGAGGAAGCTGCAATGTTAGGTTTTCTAGGTTTGAGATAACAATTAATAATATGCAGTTACTCATTCTTGAAATTTCAGATCTGGGATAGGCATCTTAACAGAATTACAGTACTTAAACATTACACAACAATTCTGAAGCAAAAGCATCAAAATAATAAGTGGCAAAAAAGTGGCATTTGTACACTTGCAATACCTGCATTCATGCAGAAAATTCCATGTTCAAGATAAAATATGAGGATTAACATCATATGTCTTGATGTCCAGCATTTCTACACTAGATCTTAAGAGTATTTTAGATTCAAAATTTTCTTAAGAAAGATAAACTAGACCTTGAGAAATGAATCACTCCAAAATGAGAGAGAGAAAGAGAGAAGCTAGTTCTCATAGAATCATTTAAGAGAGTTAGTATATAGAGATAGAAAAAGCTAAGAAATGAGCGAAATCTTAGAGAGCAAGAGAAAAAGAATCTCAGATATTTAAAATTGCAATCCTCTATGTGAAAAATCTTAACCCCTATTTGTAAGCAGCGATAGAAGCAAGCACAACAAGAGGAGTTATAAGTTGCTAGGTATTGATGAATAGGGGTCACCATGAGGTCTATTGTTGGTTGTGTTGTAAATCAAGAAGTTGAACCCTCATGCCGTGGATGCTATAGGTGAGTTGTGCTAAGGATTATGATTTCAAGTTGAACTTACGAGTTCTCAACTGCGAGCAAAATACGATAGGTGGGTTCCCTTGATAACTACTCCTAGTTGGTCAACGAGTACAATCAGCAGGTTGATGGGTATTAGGAGAGTATTTTCAGCAAGATTGGGTTTAATTTGGCACTTGGGCTACGGTAGAATATGTGAGTTTTGAGTTTCAAGTGGTTCGAGCCTGTTTAATAAATAACAAATTCTTGGACTCAGTTCAGGTTCATATCATGACTTGATTAACATAACCCAAACAAATAAGAGAATACAATAAACACTAATTATTGCAAAAGGTTTCATTCTTCCCAAAAGGTGATTTTCTACCAGTAAATAAAACCAAATCTGATTACCATCCTGAGCTTACCATGGACTAACTATACTCTCCCAATCTATGTTGCCATCAACATCATTATCATTAGCATTAACCTCATCACAACTATTTGGTTTCAGCTTCCTAAATTTTCATTTTCCCTTTGTCATTGTTAAGTATTGCCTAGGTGTTAATTCTATTTTTTGCAAATCATTTTGAACAACTGCCTAATCCTTCATGTTACCATCAATATAGTCCTAACCTAAGCAACTGAGGTAAATCCAGAAACTACGCTAAACAGAAATAAGGATTGAAGCTTACTTGACCGGTGAAAACTACCAGAAGACGTTGTTCGAGATGCCGCACAAGCTGAGGCGAAAGTACTAGGGGGAAGACTTGCAATCGTAATAGATGTCCTGGAAAACTGTATGTGCATTTTATGCCTGGGTATAGTCCTCCTATTTGATCTTGCCATCCTCCTCCTGTACCCATAATTTGTTCAAGCACCAAAACAATTCTAGCAACATTTTCATTACTTTCATCTTCTCTCATTAGAGAAAGAAGCCCTTTTACAACAGCTGCAGCTAATATGCTGGAAGTCCCTAGCCCACTTCCACGGGGAACATCTGCCCACGTCCTGATCTTAATGCCAGAGCTCACCAAAATTTTATGATGGACAATGCCTGAGACAAGAAGAGCAGATTTAACAAGCCGAAAATGGTCATCTTTGTCAAATGGTGTACAAATTGAGCCTGGATCTTTGATATGTAACTGATTGTTTGCATCATCTATGATAAGTATCCCAGTATGTTCTGTTGTTGCAATCTCAGTCCGGATTGGAAGAGAGCCTTCTAATTTTATTGCCATATTCAGAACACAACCTGAGCGCTCCAAACTCCATGGTGGTGTATCACTCCAACCCCCAACAAAATCAACCCGAACTGGCAGCTCTACAACTACTTTTCTTGATTGGAAAATGATATTTTCATGATTGTTGTTACCATTTAACTTGCAATTCGTCTCACCAGAGTCAAAGATCCGATCTGAGAGTAGGCATTAGATAGGCATCAATAATGCTGATATTTCAGTCAAATGTTTTTTTTACTTCTGCAGGGAAAATAGCAAATGACTAAATTGGCAAAAAAACTTATTATTTGATGTTAGACATCTTGGGTTTAGGATTTAATAATACAAACTTAGAATGAGGTACATAAAGAAACAAAAAAATCTTAAAATAGTCCTCAGACTTTTCATGTATGGCAAATTTAATCTCAGAGTATCATGTTGCCTTAATTTAGTCCCTCAACTATACAAAATTGATCAAAAATAATCCCTCATGTTGTAATTGTGATATAAAATTAATCTCATCTTAGTCCCTTGACTTTAGAAAATTGATACCAATTTAGTCCCAAATAGACCATTTTCGATCAATTTTGTATAGTTAGATGACTAAATTGGAGCAACATTATTATTTGATGCTAGCAATCTTGGGTTTAAGTTTTAATAATGCAAATTTCGGATGAGATACATAAAGAAATAAAAAAAATCCCAAAATAGTCCCCAGACTATTCATTTATGACCAATTAAGTCTGAGGGTGTCACGTTACCTCAATTTAGTCCCTCGACTATACAAAATTGATCCAAAATAGTCCCTCATATTGTAATTGTGATATAAAATTGATTACAATTTAGTATCTCGACTTTAAAAAATTGATCTCAATTTAAACCTAAATGGACTATTTTGGATCAATTTTGTATAGTCAAGGGGGATGAATTAGAACAATGTTATACGCTAAAACTAAAATGATCATATAAGAATAGTCAGGGGACTACAATTCATAATTTTATAATTTTTAATTTAAGCAAATATTTATCACAATTGAAGCAAATACCAAAACATATTTTTTTATTCCAACTGATAAGTTGAAAAGTTGCAATAATCAAAATTCTATAGGAAACTAAGATTGATGTAAAATTGTGCGGCAAATGAAATTCACATCACAGGAAGGAAATCGGCACATAACAAATTTGACAAAATCTTAAACATGCATAAACCCCAATTACTAAACCATATAGAAGGAACAAGGAAAAAAATTACTACTTGGAAGATCTAGGACAAATGCAACATAAGTTATGAAAACCTACAAAGCACTAAAAATTCGAAATCCAACAACTGCACAAGAATTGAGATGAAACAAAATTTTATTCTTTTATTCAATCAATTAATAATATTTACATGCATCAGGGTCAATTTCTAACATAAATAGACAAAGTAAGTGATTTATCATAATACTCCAAAATTTAGCATAATATTGCAAGTTTCAATTCAGCACAATTAAACTCCAACAAGAACAAGAAATTTTAATTTAGTTTCAGCAAAAAAATCATTTTTCAACCTTAAAATGCCAACACCAACAAATATTAGCTAAGTCCTGCTTTTCCGGCCACAGAAATGTTGCGAAAGGACGGAAACCGGAACATAAGTATAATGCTCACATGATAAAACAGCAAATGGAAGGACTAAATAGCAGCCGAACACAACTGAAAAAACGTGAAACTACTATAGAGAAAACTCAGGGATATTCAAACATATCTACAATGCCAGTGAAGGAGGAAAAACCGTAGAAGGGAAAACTGGCGGATGGAAATGCGAGATATAGAAGCAGTTGAACAGAACAACATCAACACGTGAAAGTCCTGTAGAAAAAACCTATCAACAGCTACAATGCAATGCCAAGGAATCAAATATCTGAACAAATCTACAGTGCCCTTGAAGGAGAAAAAACCGTAAAAGGAAATAGATCAATATCGCTCCTCAATATTCCGTTTGACAAGCAAAATTTTCAAAGAATCGCAATATCCAAAATTATGAATTGCAAGTAAGCATTCCTCTTCTTGTATTTTTACCAAGTTTCAAAATACAAGCACGTTTAGAAATTTTAGAACAAAAAAGTAATTTGCTCGCTAACCTTGAATTTCAAATTTTACAGCTGAAGCAGTTTCATTGGCAACAGCAGTCCATATTTTTTGCTCCAATGCGCAAGCCGCTGAATCATCCCTACAAGCCCTAAGAAGATCAACCTGCACCTGATATGCCCTGCTTCGAGGAAGAACCCCAGGATTTTGAGCCTCGACAGTGGGACAAAGTGAAAGAAGTTTTTTGCAAATTTCAGTTCCTGAAGTATCTTTCTGTAAAATTTCATCACACAGTTGAGAAATATCCCGTCCAAGCAGTCCATATGCCATGCAGGCTTTAGCAAATCCAGATGCCAGATCAGCGTGATGATTACGAGCAGCCTCGCAAATTCGAGGAAAATCGATGGAGCAATGAAGTTCCTCCAGGCTCACACGTCGCGAACTCTTCCACATGGAAATCATATCTTTGCGGTCGAAAAATCTTGAGCCCATGAGCCACATGCCTAAACTAAGCATCTTCGATGGTGATAGAACGGGAAAAATCCTGGCAGTCCACAAGCATTTGTCCTTGGTGTCTGGTGAACTCCATAAATCTGTTTCTTGAATGCCTAAATCAAGTAAAACTTTTCTCCATGGCTTGCCACAAAATGTCCCATCATCTTCAGCTGGCCTTTTTGGATTATCTTGGAGTCCACAGTAGATAATGATAGTTCCCATGCATCCTACCAACGGAACCTCCCAAAGGCAATGTCGATTAGGTAATATAAATTCAATTTCATCCTGTGTTTCAATGCAAGCTCCTTCAGTATTCACACCAACAACAATGGATTGTGAACCAATCTGTATTCTACCAGAAAGGGAAGAATCATAAACCAACGAATCCTCGCCGATTGAAACACCAGGTGAAATTTTGCTCGAAAGGATAACTGCAGATGCAGCAATATCACAGACGGTGGTATCTGGAACGTAACATAAGTGCCTACGACCTACTAGGCTTGAATCAGCCCCATTTAAATGATCCAGAACTTCACTTGAAGTACCAAAATGTAAAAATGACAGGCCATCTGCACAACAAAAGAGATGAAGCACCACTATATCAAATTAGTGACGTTAGTAGAAATAAATAGCAAGAACGCATCTTCATGTTCTGCAAAATCTCTCAATTAAAAGTGCAATGTTATCAACCAAAGCGGTGATGTTAAGCATGCTGATTATAAATGTCCATTATTTTTTGCAGCCATTTATAGTCTAAAATGCGCTTGTTATGGTAATAATCTTTTCTTTTTTTTTTTTGCCCATATTTGAAGGATAAAAATTTCAAGGAAAATGAAAGCCATTACAGGATACAAGAGCTTCTGAGAAGGTGAGCAGTACATATTTGGAGACTAAAGATCTAAGGATAGCAGAATGGTTCTGCTAAAAATAACATGTATATCAGTAAAGATAAGAAGTGGGTAAAAGGTCATGGTAATAATATCTAAGATGAAATCATGATACTGACAAGGTTGGGTTTATTCCGATCACTGGCAATGGACTCATGTCTTTCAAACACAAACAGTAAAGTTTAAGCACCACACTTTTGTCTTGGCATTTTTTATATGCACGTTACTGAATGGAACATGGTTGTTATAAACAAAATGCAAGAAGTATTATCCAAAATTTTAATAGGCAAACACTTTACATGGAAAAAACTGGTCTATTAAACGCAATGTGAAAACATGTTGCCAATAACAATGTAAGAACCAATCTGGCAAGTTCAAGTGCACCGGCCAGTTAATAAAACAGGCAACTACAAGCGAAGCAGGGGAGAGAAGCAATCGGTCGCGAGAAGGTCCGGTGGAGCAAAATCGTGCCATTGAGCAAAGGATCTCATGCGAGGGAGAAAAATAGCAACTCCTCGTGGAGAATAACTGCGATTCACTCCCTCCTTTTGAACCGAAGAAGCTTTGAATGAGAGGAAGCTGCATCAAGACGAAGCAAAAGGAGAAGGAAAGAAATAAAGAGAAAAAGAAAGAGTCGTCAAGGCACCTGCGACCAACCTGTTGAGGGAGGAGTGTGTTGTAATTTAGGGCTTGAGTTGGCAGAGGTTAAGAAGAAAAGTAAGATATTTTATTTTATTTTATTTATTTTTAAATTATATATTTAATTAACATATCTTTTAAATATTTAAATAAGCTTAAGATCTTACCTAATGTCTAATTATTATTTATTAAATAATAAAATTATGAATTTCTTAAGAATGAAAATAATTAACATTATTAAGCAAATTTAAACTAAAATTTTATACATATTTTAATGATTATATCAAAACAATTTAATGAAAAATATAAGATATACAAAGGGATAGAGCGCATATATTCAAATGAAATTTTATTCATAAATTAATATAATAAAACAAATCATAATTAGTGAAATACTCTATGATTATTTTAAGAATAAAAATATATTTAAAAAAAATAAAAAAAATTTAAAATCTTAAAATAAAAAATTTAATAGTAGTTGATAAAATGGTTAATAAGAATGTCTTTTATATAGCATATAATCTTTTGACCTTGAAGCAAAGAGTAAGAGTGAAGAAGCGAGATAATTAAGTTCAAGGTGAGTACTCATATTTTTATTTTATAGAAATGATATTGTTTTCTTAAATTCAAGTTCATTGAATCTAATTTAAGTTTATTGAATTAATTGATATTGACTAGTTAATTGTTATTATAAAATTCTAGCATTTCTTCTTTTATAATGGACATATTAAATTATTTGATAGTTAGCATTATTATTCAACATATAATTATAAAAAGTTATTGAATGATAAATGACTGAAATGATTATAAATAAATACATGTATGTGCAAGTTGATTGATGGAACCCAACACCTTATGATATTGATTGGGAATGCAATGTATTCGTGCACATAAATGAAAAAGTTTATGGGAAAGGAAAACAAAATGAAAATGGAAAAGGAATACCTTCAATGATACAAAATTAGACAGTGATTCTTGTGACGGTTGTATTATTTATAAGAAATGAAAAAGATATGAATACATATATGATACATATGACATATATGATTTATATATAACATTGAAAGACTTGATGAAATGATATGATTAAATGTAATTATTTTTTGATTAAAATGTAAAAGAAATCATGCATATTATTCCAATTGTTTTAAGCTACAATAGTTTAGAAGCATATTTTATTCACTGAGTTGTAGCTTACTTTTAGTTGCTTTAATATTTTTAGGTATAATTTAATATAATCAAAATGAGCAAAAAATATGAAAATGTGTACCGTAGATATGACACACTGAATGAAAGAAATCTAATTTATTTTACATCAATTTATTTCTTTTTTTTAAGTATTAGTGACTCTTTCAGTGTTTTTTAGATAGATTGAACAAATAAAAATTTCATCTACCATCCGATCGTCTATTCTCGCCTTGTTAATTCGAACCTTCGGGCAAACGATCGGATGAATTAATGAAAGATCTGAAGCTCAAATTAACAAGGAAGGAACAGATGGTCGGACAGTATAAAAAAAATTATTTGCTCAATCTATCTCTAATACACTGAAAAATCCACTAAAACTAAGAAAATATAAACTAATGTAAAATGAATTAGATATTTTTCATTCGGTGCGTCACATCTATGATATATCAAAAAATATAAGACCAACTAAAAATAAGCTATAGCTCAGTAAATAAAACATGCTTCTAAACTATAATAACTCAAAGCAATTGGAACAATATGCATGATCCTTTTTTACTTCATATGTAAAATAATTACATTTAATCATATTATTTCATCAAGACTTTCAATATTATGCATAAATCATATATGAAATATATATAATATTTGCATTCATATCTTTTCTCATTTCTTATAAATAAAACAACCGTCATATGAGTCATCATCTAATTTAGTACTATTGAATGTACTCTTTTTTCATTTTCATTTTCTTTTTCTTTTCCATAAATTTTATCATTTACATGCACGAGTATATTGCGTCCCCAGCCAATACCATAAAAGGGGCTCAATCAATCAACAATCACATACAAATATTTCTATATAATCATTTTATTCATTTATCATTCAATATTTTTCTATAGTGTATGTGTTAAATAATCATGTTAACTATCAAATAATTCAATATGACCATTTAAAAAGAAGAAATGCTATAATTTTATAATAACCATTAACTATCCAATATCAATTAATTCAAAAAATTTAAATTAGATTCAATGAACTTTAATTTAAGAAAACAATATCATTTCTATAAAATAAAAGTATGAGTATTCACCTTGAACTTATTTTACTTCTTCACTCTTACTCTTTGCTTTAAGGTTAAAATATTATCTCCTATATAAAAGACTTTTTTATTAACAGTTTTATCAATTACTATTAAATTCTTTAACTTAACATTTCAAAATTTATTCTCTTTTTAAATATATTTTTATTCTTAAAACAATCATAGAGTATTTCTCTAATTAAGATTTCATTTATTATTATACTTTAAAAAATATGTTATGCTCTCTCTCCCTCTTTCTCTAATTACCTAATTAATTTACTAATTAAAATTGAATATTTTCTCTATTTAAATAATAATTTCTTAATTAGCGTTTTCAATTAAAAAATCTATATCTTATTTAATTCTCATAAATTATTATTATGTTATACTACATAATTTTACTCTTTTTTCTCTCTCTACTTATTTATTAAATATATTCAATCAGTTCTCTTATTATTATTTCTATGCATAACATAAATTTCATTTTTTTCTCAATTAATTTAATATTCATTTTTCTATAATTATTTAAATTAATAGTAACTTAATTTATGAATAAAATTTTATTTGAATATATATTCTCTATCCCTTTGTATATCTTATATTTATCATTAAATTGTTTTAAAATATAATTATTAAAATATGTATAAAATTTTAGATTAAATTTCCTTAATAATGTTAGTTATTTTCATTCTTAAGAAATTCATAATTTCATAATTTAATAAAGTATTATGTAAGATCTTAAGCTTATTTAAATATTTAATAAATATATTGATTAAACATATAATTTAAAAATAAATACAATAAAATAAAATAAATAGCTTACTTTTCTTTCTAACCTCTACCAACTCAAGTCTAAACCACAGCACACTGCTCCTCCCTCAACAGGTCAGATCGCAGGTACCTCAACTCCTCTTTCTTTTCTCTCTATTTCTTCCCTTCCCCTTCTTCTTCCTCTTGATACAGTTTCCTCTCATTCAAAGCCTCTTCGGTTCAAAAGGATGGAGCGAATCGCAGTTATTCTCCATGAGAAGTCGCTTTTTTTCTTCCTTGCACGCAATCCTTGCTCAATGGCGTGATTCGACTCCGCTAGCCCTTCCTGTGCTCGATCGCTTCGCTCGCCTACTTTGCCCTTCATTGTCTGTTTTATTAACTCGCCATTTCACTTGAACCAACCAAACTGATTCTTACAAAAAAATAGTTGGTCTATAATTCAAGTAGAAGCAAATGACTGATTACAATGCAAGTCTCAATTCTTAAGTTTCTTCTGTGATCTAAAATACTTCCAATCTTTAGGGTCTACAGCCTCCTTACCTAGGCTTCTCCCCACTTGTGATATGATTTATATAGGTCATGTCTATCAACTTAGGGCTAGATCCCTCTTACACCTTCAGATATATGAGGCACTCTTAGATGATAAAACTCATGATTATTGACAAAGATCCTCCATGCTAGAAAATTTTGATCATTTTTTTCTAACCGGTAGGCTAAAAGCTACAACAACATAGAATGATAAACAACCATAAGATCTCTTCCATCTATCCCATGTATTCCACTTTTCTTAAGGTTAGTCAACCTATCTCTCAAGTTAGTTGTCATCTACATGATTAGTCTCCTTTCTTAGGATATAAATCTTCTACTATGGATAAATCTTCCCTTCTATAGATTAAACTCTTTTCTTAAGACATCCTTATGGGTTGTAGAGCTTCTATTCTCTAAAAACTTCCTTAAGCAGTAGTTCTGGATTTTTCTAATGATCCAAACTTTGTCTAATGTTCAAAAATATAAGTCTCCTCATCTTTGAAGCCATCTTACTTGGCTTTCTTTTTCTTGAGTTTCAATATGCCAAGATAATATTTTTAAAATTAAAGAGAAATTTTCTTGTATGAATGACCACGTCATACTTGAGACTTCAGTTATTTTAATCACAATCCTAGGATTGTGTATCCATCATTCTAAAGAGCCCCATTGTGCACTTCACCGCACCATAAATCCATATCCACTACATCATGAAACTTAGCATTCCTTAGAATTCTACATCTCCTACATCAAGGATTGTCTGTCTAACTACACCTCAATATTCATTGATTTTGACTCATCCATCTTTATTTTGTGTCATTTTATTCTTCTTTAAAAGAGAGTAATCATCTTTAAATAAACACAGGTAGACCGCAAGTATGATTCCCTAATTGAGAGTTTTCTTGTGTACTACTCAAGATGTAACTAACCATAGGAATAGCGTTCTTTTGGAAACTTCAACCCCTAGAAACTCTAATTCAAAAAAAGAAAAATATATGGAGATTTAAATGTCTAACTTGCCTACCACTGATATCACAAGTTCGTAGAATGGATTGATCGATCCCAGAATGGTCCACTATAGCAAGTCATTGATATTATCCCAATTGAGAAATCCACCCTATTTCAAATCTACTTTGCATATTTAAACAAAAAAAACCACAAATTAAAATAGGGATTGGCTAAGAAAAAACTTGAATGTAAAAAGTTATAGTGAGATATGTGATTGTTGACCTCCATGTAAAGACCAAAAGATGAGAGCAGAAATCCTGCATATCTCTATCGCCTGGATCCCGCAAATCCTGCGGAAGTCCCGCTCGATTCGGGAGGGGTAATTAATTATAGGGGCTTGCGCCTATAGGAAACCAGAACTCAGATCATAAAGTCCTCGTAAATGAGGGCGAAATCTCTGGGTAGTGTCTTATCTACAAACCCATCTGCCTTCCAAAATTTACCCCAGAACTTATATCTGTTAAAACTCCCCTCGCTCATAATAGAAAGAAAAGCGCGGCGGGGAGGCCGGGGCCAAATTTTTGGAGCCCACAGTGGTTAAAGAATTTTGGTTTGAATAAAATTTCTTTTTCTTGCTTTAAATCTTATTAATGCACGTTGGCAGTGCAATTCCTTCAAGCGCAATAAAATTGCAACTACCTATTGTTGTACCAACATGTTGCCTGTTTTTACTTTGATATTTTTGTTCATATCTATATTTCATTAACATAATTTGATAGACTTGTTTTGTGCTCATGATTTTGATTAAGAATTGACATGTCCAAAATCCAATTTGTGAAAATTAAATTCATTTGCTAATTGATTTTACATGCTTCCAATTTCTTGCTGAATTTCTCAGATAATTTTGATCATTTCATTATCGATTGAGATCAAACTCTAGTATTGCATTTGCATGTTTACATTTAAAAAATACAAGTAGTTGAATTATTTGGCAGCTTCTGAATTGTGAATGTTTGATTTTCTTTGCATGTAATTATAATATGCATCATATCATTTGAATTAGGGAATCCTAACTGGCATCAAAAAGAGAATCCAATTTTATCCATGGAGATGGGACTTACAAGCACAATAGCTGAACATCTTCAGTCCGCCTAATGCATTTACCAGTTCTTTACCTAAAGGCCTCTGTTTCAACCATTCATGTTTTGCAGGTACCCAAGCTGCAACCAGATCTTCATACAAACTCATCTGCACCACCAATTTTATGAGAACACAATAACAGCTAACTTTAAACAATGATAATATCAAACTGAAATATAAGCCAAGCCAAAAAGCGCAAGAAAGAATTTATGAGATATGAATGATGAACGAAGATAGCTTTACCTCATTTCTACTCCCCAACAGTTTCTGGATCACAATGTGGCATGAAGAATATGCAAGCATAGCAAGTTCAACCCACGCTTTACCCCTTATTGCTATTATTCCTGTATCAAGCAACGTCCTTCCGTCATGTAGAATAGCCTCACTTTCTATTAGTTCTTCCATTGACGGCTTTTGCAGAAGATTATCAACCAAACAAAGGGAATAGCTCTCATTCATAACTCCATTTCTGGATGCAACAACAACCCCATGATTGGATGCTATATCCACGGTGATAGGAACTGTGATGATGCAAGAAGCATCATCAGGGAGAATTATGGTCGATGCATCAAAAATAGGTAGTACATCTCCCGTCATGATGAAGATCCCACCTACAGGAAAATTATCAACAAGGGAAATAAACTTACATATGAGTGTGAGTTTTTTTTTTCCAAATAAGTGTGAGCTGATTAAGAAAATCAATACCATCAAGTGTCAGAAAGAAAAAATGGCTATCCGGAAAAGATAAGCAAAAAAGGTCACTCTTGGTTTGACAAAACTTGTCAATTAGGATCAGTTGCAATGAAAAGTCAATTTACAAACAGTTCATTTGCACTCTAAAACATGTATAGGCAACATGGCGAAATATTTTGCCAAAAATTCAAAGTTGTGCCATTCATCTAAGGCAAGTAACATTTTGATAAACTGCCGAATAAGCGTTTTATTAATAATCACTGCACAATAAAACAAAATGATTCCATCCAAACATACTTGGAAAAATTCTATGACCTATGAAGCATGGATATAAACAATTGAAATTTTCATGGTGACCTGTCATACCAAGGAAATGTGATTGCTTGATATATGCATATATAGATTTACAAATTAATAATGTTTGCTAACTAAAATAAGTAGTAGAGCATTTACCAAAATATTACAAATTAATATATTTTATTATAGGGGCTTTTACGTACCTAACACTTAAAACCTCTCTATTTACTTATCTAGCATCTAAACTTTAGTATTTACTCTTCTACTACCTAAAAACCCTTACCCTCGTCAAATATAGCACTCCATTGTCTCTGTCAAAACCAAATCCCAAAATCTATATTTCACGCGAGAATCGTCACTCTTCGTTGTGACTCGAGTAGCTCTCTCACATTTGAATCCCCTCGTCTTCGCCAGCCCATGTGAATGCATTCCAACAGAGCAGTTCTCTTTAGCGAAACGTCAAATAGAAGCTCCAGCCCAGTCGACATTTCGTGCAAACGTCAGAATAGAAGCTCCAGCCGAGTCAACATTTTGTGCCAACATCCGAATAAAAGTTCCCTTTCGTGAAACCCACGCTGCTCGTCTTCTCCAGCACGTGCAAACACATCACCACTCCCTCCTCCCATATGCTCGTTCCTTCTCTTTAAGTTTTTTCTTTATTCACTATTCCAATATGTATTATTCCCATCGGCTCAAGTTGTCAATATTGTCGCCCATATTGAAGAACTTTAACAGAACAAGAGAATAGGAAAAATTATTGAAAAAATAGGGGATAGGAAAAACTCATTGATGTGATATGGACTTTTACATGCTTGTTTTTGCTGATTTGATGAAATTTATTTCATTTATAACTATACTGGCAGATATGTATTGCAATAATTTGTGCTCTATTGTCTTTAAGTATGGAGGATATTGAACTGCGGTGAAGAGCCAAAGCAGGATGAAATATGTCGATAGAAGTCAGAAAACTTTGAAGTTTAAGAGATTTAATATTAATTCGTTACTATTGAAAGAACAAACCAAAGCACTTTGCCGGTGGCTTAGGGGTCATGTCTACGACCTACACCATCATATTTATGAAACATCGCCAAAAAATTACATGTTGATTAGGAGTGATACAGATGTAATTGACATGCTTAAATGTTCTTGTAATGACAATATAGTGGAGGTTGTTGTTATAGTAAAAAATTCTGAAGAATATATGTGTAATGCATATGATATTCAGTATGGAGATATGCATGATTTAAGTGCGAACAACAGTGTGAACAATGACATAATAGTAAATGGGTTTCCTGGTGATTTCTTTGAGGCTTAAGTTGAAGAAATACATTCTTTTTGTGTTAGTTCACGTTTTGAGGATTCATCAATTTTAAAACAAGTTATTCGATCCAATACAATTTTACAAAACTTTGATATCAAGATTAAAGCTAGTGACAAATCAAGAATATTGCTACTTGCACATATTGTGGATGTTCATGGAGAATATCAGATTCGTTATGTTCAGATGATCATTTATTTGAAATTAGAAAATTTACATTCGACACATTCATGCCCGAGGGTAAACAAAGCTGGAAATAAGCAAGCTAATGCAAAGTGGATTGCTCATGAAATCAAGGATATTATAAAAAGGAATCAAGATATTACACCAAAGGGCATAAATAATAACTTAAAGACGGCATTTGGTTAGTTTTTATCATATATGAAAATATGGCGTTCAAAAGAATTAGCAAGAGAACAAATGTTTGATTTAATAGATGATAACTACAAGCGAGTGCTCAAACTAAAGTCAGAGTTAATCAATAGGAATCCTGACTCACATATAAAATACCTATGTGACAACAAAAATCAGTCATTTAAGAGGTTCTTCATTAGTTTTAAGGTTTGCATTAATGGATTCTTTGTCGGATGTCGATATTTAATAGACTTTGATGCTTGTCATCAAAAATCAAGTATTTAGGTGTACTACTTTCTGCGAATTATTTGGATGGAAATAATGATTTCTTTACTATTACATTCGTCGTTATGGAATCTGAATCAAAGAGAAGTTGGGAGTGATTTTTGATGAATTTGTCCCAAGATTTTAGTATTGATGTAGAAAAATTTAGCCTTCATATCAGATATGGAGAAAGAGCTAGTTGAAGCTATTAAGATTATTTTTCCTAATGTTGAGCACAAAGTCTATAATAAACACCTTTGAAAAAACATTAAAAAACTTTTTCGTTGTGATAATAGCCAAAGATTGTAGAAGTTGGTGCGGACTACCGCAAATTGTTGCAATCAACATGACTTTAATGCTAAGGTTGAAGAAATATATCGCATCAGTTCATTCCTACATAAGTTATTTGACAGGTAAGTGGTCGAAAGCAACTTTCTCAGAACATATTAAGAACCACTACAACACAAATAATATGACATAATCCTTCAATTCATGGGTAAAGGAGGCAAGGAATAAGTCTGTCGTGGATCTCATCAAAATGATAAGGGGAATGCTAATGGAACAATATTCTCAGTGGAAGTAACACTCTACTTCTTGGAAGGGACTTCTTATTCCATTTGTTGAGGAGTATATTAGAGATGTTACAACAAGAAAAGAATATTTCATTATACACCAGTCTACTTAAACCAAAGATGAGCGCAAATTGTTGCAATCAACATGACTTTAATGCTAAGGTTGAAGAAATATATCGCATAAGTTCATTCCTACATAAGTTATTTGACAGGTAAGTGGTCGAAAGCAACTTTCTCAGAACATATTAAGAACCACTACAACACAAATAATATGACATAATCCTTCAATTCATGGGTAAAGGAGGCAAGGAATAAGTCTGTCGTGGATCTCATCAAAATGATAAGGGGAATGCTGATGGAACAATATTCTTAGTGGAAGTAACACTACTTCTTGGAAGGGACTTCTTATTCCATTTGTTGAGAAGTATATTAGAGATGTTACAACAAGAAAAGAATATTTCATTATACATCAGTCTACTTAAATCAAAGATGAGGTTGAAGTGAGTTTTGAGCATCATGAGGTGGACATAGAGAATCAATTGTGTGGCTGTGGGTTTTCGAAGTTATCTGGACTATCATGTGTACATAGTGCATCATTTGTTGGAACTAAACATCAAAAATTTATGGCACACATATGTGGATGAATACTATAACATTTATAAGTTTGATATCTTCTTCAATTTAGTCTTATGTCAATAATACTTGTGTTTACAACTATGTTTTTTTGCGCAGGTACAGAATGGCGTATGATAGAGCTATTTCAATAATTTCAAGGAAGGAACAGTGGTCCGTACTCCGTGATGGCAAGTTCGTTTTTCCACCAGTTACACTCAAGCCACGTGACAGATCAAAGAAAAGACGAATTAAAAACTTCTTAAAATGTGCAAAGAAATAAAAAATAGTCATAAATATGGTCGTTGCAACTCTTGGGGACATCATAGAAGCACTTGCAAGGAACTTATAAGCATTTAAGTAGCAAATATTCGGTAGGTTCCTTGCAAGTGTTTTTATGATGACCCTAAGAGTTGCAACAACCACATTTATGGCTATTTCTTATTTCTTTGTGCCTTCTAAGAAGTTTTTAATTTATTTTTTCTTTAGTTTGTCATGTGGCCTGAGTGTAACTGGTGAAAAAACGAACTTGCCATCACGGAATACAGACCATTGTTCCTTCCCCAAAAGTGTTGAAATAGCTCCATCATACGGCATTTTGTACCTATGCAAAAAAATATAGTTATAAACACAAGTATCATTAACAGAAAACTAAATTAAAGAAAATAACAAACATGTAATTATAATAGTTTTCATTAACATATGTGTGCCATAAATTGTGATGTTAGTTTCAACAAATGTTGCGCCATGCACACATGGTAGTCCAGATAACTGTCAAAACTCACAGCTACACAATTAGTTCTCTATGTTCATCTCATGATGCTCAAAAGTCCCTTCAACCTCTGTTTTGGTTGAAGTAGACTGACATATAATAAAATTTTCTTTTCTTGTTATACCATCTATAATATACTCCTTAACAAATAGAATAAGAGGCCTCTTCCAAGAAGTTGAGTGTAACTTCCGTTGAGAATATTATTCCATCAGCATTCCCCTTATCATGTCGATGAGATCCAGGACGGGCTTATTCCTTGCCTACTCTACCAAGGAATTAAAGGATTATGCCATGTTATTTGTATTGTAGTGGTTCTTAATATGCTCTGAAAAAGTTGCTTTCGACCACTTACATGTCAAAGAACTTATGTAGGAATGAACTCTGGACTGATACAATATATTTCTTAAACCTTAACATTAAACTCATGTTGGTTGTAACAATTTGCAGTAGTCCACACTAACTTCTGCAATTTTTCGAAGCATTACAAAAAAAATTTTCTTAATATTCTTCCAAATGTATCTCATGCAAACTCTGTGCTCAGCATTAGGAAAGACAACCTTAATAGCTTCACCTAGTATCTGATATTAAGGCTAAATAATCTACATCAATACTAAAAGCTTTGGACAAATTCATCAAAAATCACTCTCAACTTCTCTTTGATGTAGATTCCGCAACGACGAATGTAATAATAAAGAGACAATTGTTCACATCCAAACAATTCGCGGAAAG